TGGCAGGGGGGAAGGATGCCGGGGGCTGCGAGTACCAGGAGATGTGGGTACCGGGGGCTGCAAATACGGGGGGGGGCTGTTGAGGTTGCCAGGGGGATGTGAGTACTGAGGGATGGGGGTACCTGGGGGATGCGAGTAGAAGAGGGCGAGGGTGCCAGGGGATGTAGGTAACCTGGGGCTGTGATTTCGGGGGGATGCGGCTGCCGGGGGCATGTAGGTACCAGGGGCATGTGGGTGCCAGGGGGATGCGGCTGCCGGGGGCATGTAGGTACCAGGGGCATGTGGGTGCCAGGGGGATGCGGGTACCAGGGCTGCGGATTCCAGGGGGATGTGGATACCCAGGGATTCGGGCGCTGGGTAACGCAGGTACCAAGGCACAGAGGTACTGGGTGGGGGTCTGCGCCTTGGTGTGCCCCCAGACCAGGAGGGGACCCAGGCAGCCGGTCCTGGAGGCCGTCCTGGGGTGCTGAGCCCCCGTCATCAGAGTGCTGGGGCTCTTGGTTGGCGCGTGGATGCGGGGGCTGTGGCTGGGGAACCGCTTCTGCCTGGCCCTGGGGTATTGGCTCTACTCAGGGACTCGGTGAGCGATGACTTCATGGCCTTATTAAGGACTAATTTCCATCTAGGCAGGGGAAAATAAACAAGTGTGGTTGTCGTTTGCCGTGGAAAGTTACCGGGGCCGTGGGGAGTTGCTGCCTGTTCTCATACATGGCCTGGATTTCTCCACTTACCTCCATGGGATGATAATCCCTAAATCCCAATGAGATTAAAGGCAGAAAGAAAGGTGGCTGGAGTTCCTCCTCCCTGCTTTCACAACGTTTCCCAGATGACGAAATCCCACATCTGTCTAACCCTGATTAACCTGTGCGCTCGGCTCATCCCCCCCACAAAAAAAAGGGGCAACGAGGGTGAATCCCCATCCCGCTTTGCTCCCGGAGCTGCGGGGAGGTGAGAGCTGGGGGAAAAGCCGTAGGCGAGGCAGGAGCTGCTGTTTTAATCACCTTATTTTTCCCGTGCCAGCAGGTCCGGAAAACCCTCTCGCAGCCATGGCGCTGGTGAAGAGCGGTTGGCTTTGGCGGCAGAGTAAGTGCAACCCTTGAGCTTTCCAGGTTGGGAGCCCCCCAGAAAAAAAACCCGGACAGGTTTTGGCTATGGGATGCGGGGAGGAGGCACAGGGAGGGAGAATGGACCCCGACCTGGGCGGTTAATCCACGGCAGCGAGGAAATCGCGGCTCAGCCGCTCACGGATTTACGTAAGAGGAGAGAGGGGCTGTCTGCCATGAAAAGAGACACACGGCTCCACGTCCGGAGTTGGATCTGGTCCCGTGTGCGCGGCAGGACAGCACCGAGATGCCCTGATGGCTTTTTTGGCAGCTTTTTTTAATTTAAAGCCACCTGGTCATGCTGCCCCGGATGCTCACGCCAGGCACGGGTGTCCTGCGAGATGCAGTGGCTCTTGCAAGGGGTGGTGGGATCTGGCTGCAAATTTGGGGGACGGTGTTGGGTCTCGTGGTATCCCACTGCACTCACTGGGGTCCTTCACCTCCTCCCCATCCCATCAGGCTCCATCCTGCGCCGCTGGAAGAGAAACTGGTTCGTCCTCTACCTGGACGGCAGCTTGGTTTACTACCACGACGAGACGCAGCGTGACATGGACGGCCGGATCCACATCAAATACAGCTGCCGGGATGTGAAGACCGGCCGCGAGTGCAGAGGTGAGCAAAGTCCCGCGTCCCCAGCCCCATCCCGTGCAGAGCTCTCCACGTAGCTGTAACCCTTTCAAATGATGCTCTGCTTGTGCTTGTGCACGTCTAGGATACCCCAAAAATAATCCCGGCTGCCTAATACACCCCTTTCTAGCTCCCAGCCAGCAGCAAGCCCTTCCCTGTGAGTTGCATGCTGCACCTTCTCTTCCATTGCTTTTCCACAGGGAAGGAAGGAGAAACTCTCCTCCTGGTTTGTGCTTGTTCAAAACATGATCCCACGGCACTGACTCATCCCTTGCCGTCTCGCACAAACAAGGAGAACAAAGCACCGGCTCGGCTCGGCCCCGGCAGCCCACGGCTGCTGCACAAAGCGCCTTTTTCTTGGGCTGCGAGTGGCAGCAATGCCGGGATGCCACAGTGGGAGCACAAACCCAAAGGTTTATGCTCACCAGAGGGTCCCGCCGAGCTTTGAGAACAGGGGAAGATGCACGAGCCTCGTGGATTTAAGATTTTTTTCTTGCTCAAGCTCATGATCCAACTCCAGCAGCGAGCATCTCGAGTTTCTACAGAATTTGGGTGCTTGCTGCAATCTGGCAAATGCAAAGCAAACACAGCTCGGCCTCGTGGCCTCGATCAGATTTCTGGCAATTTTCTGCCCTTCCATTTTCTTTCTGCCGTGGGGGTGGAAGTTTCTGCTGGTCAGCTCTTTGCTCGTCTTGGCTTTTAACCTTTGAGATCCCAACCACATCTTGCGAGTGGAGACAGAGCCGAAATTAAACCCAAATTGCAAACAGTTTTTTTAATGTCACATGAGTGGGGCAGGGGGGAATCTGGTCATGCCGGGGTAATTTGGAGCCCAACCCTCTCCCAAGAGGGTCCATGGGCAGATGGGGAGGGTCTCCGGGGCACCTCTTTCGCTGAGGCCAGATCCTGCCCCTTCCATTTCCAGATGTGCAGCCGCCCGAGGGGAAGAGCCGCGACTGCCTGCTGACCGTCGTGCTGCGGGACGGCTCCAAGACGACGCTCTGCGCTGAGAGCGAGGACGACGCCGTGTAAGCTGAAATCCCGCGGCAGCGGCACCGAAACGCCCTTGGCGGCTTTTTCATCCAAATTATCCGAGCCTGGAGCGAGCCTCGTCCCGCTCCCACCACGTCCCACCCGTGGTTAAAACCCCCCACAGCCCCTGTTTTCTCAAACACCTGCGTTCGCTCACAGGGTGATAGGCGTAGGTGGAGATTTGGATTTCCCACTGAATAATCCAGAGCCAAAAGCAGCTATTTTTAAGCAGTTGGGTCTCCTGTGAGGTGGGTTTCCCTCCCAGATGAGAAATCATCTCTTGGCCTGACTGAGGATCACTTGGGAAGGGTTTTCATCGGTATTTGGCGATAAATAGTGTGAAAGTTAAGTCTTTACTGGCTTAAGGCCATGCCCAGCAGGAGGAAACACATGCTTTTTAGCAGTGTTCCCCTTCTATTTATATCTGTAAAAACTTCAGAATTTTATTTTTATAAAAGTTTCATTTTTAAATAAAAAAGTCCAAAAAATTATAAAATAAAAAAAAGTGGGAACATTCAGCTGAACTTAGATGGAGGGAGATGTTCAGCCGTGGCCAAACTAAGCTTGATCCATTTGAGCTTGACCCCAGCTGAATGGAAATTCATCCGTTACCTGCTTTTTCCCCCCAATTTAGATGTCATTTTCCTGCCTGCCCTTGTTTTAGCTGGGGCTGTTTCCAGGGAGAGTGTTTAGCCCTGTGCCCATCCCCGTGGCGTTGGGTACCTCCTGGCACCTTCCAGTCCCCACCTATTAGCCCAGCGCTGGCTAGTAGGGCATTAAAGATTAATGCCAGCCCCGCAGCCGTATCCAGGTCACCGGTGGAGGGAGGAAGGGGGACACGTGTGTCCAGCGGAGCTGCTGTCCAGCCAAGCGGCCCCACGGGGACAATTCCCCCCGCTCCAGCACACCCCAAAACCGAGTCCCTCTTTTTTGTTTGCAGCGCTTGGAAGATGGCCGTGCTGGAGGCTAAATCCACCCCGGTGAGGCTTCATCCCCCAAAGCAAGGGTGCACCATCCCGGCACGGCCTTCGGGCAGGGCCTGGGTAGAGGTTACACCAACCCCGGGGCTGACGCTGAGCTCGGGGTGGCCCCCCAAGATCCTGCGCCCATTGAGTAAAGCCCCTGGAGCCAGACGGGGAAAAAGGTGGAGAAGCATTAGTGACAGAGCAGTCCATTCGGGATGCCACCGACGGAAGATGACAGAGCGGAGGGTGACCCTGTTCAGCAGTCTGGTGTGATGGGGGCAGAGTTACTGTGACAGGAGACACAGTTAAGGGGAACGGGGGCAGAATTTAAGGGGAACGGGGGCAGAATTTAAGGGGAACGGGGGCATGATTAAGGTGATGGGGAACACGGTTATGGTGACAGAGGCCAAGTTAAGGGGAATGGGGGCAGAGTCAAGGTGACAGGGGACGCAATTCAGGGGACCTGAGCACAGGTAGATGATTCGGGTGCTTGAGCAAAGGCTGCCCCTGGCATTTCAGACACTCTGGGCCCCCCTTTCAGCAGTGCAGGGGAACCCAAGCGATTCAGGCCCCCGTTACACATGGGGGAAACTGAGGCACGGCATCGGCATGGCCACACTGGCTGGGTTGCGGCTCCACCATACCCTGCGCAGCCCGGTCTGGGCACCAGCCTCACGCCATGCTCCCGCTGCTCCCAGGTGCATGTCTATGACCCCTACGACGACGACTACTACCAGACGGTGCCCCTCGACTCCCACCAGACCGCCTACATCAGCTCCGGCCACTACGGCCACCAGTACGGAGGTGGGTGGCCCCATCCGGTGGCATCAGGGGCGGTGGCCACATCCTGATTCACCTCATCCCTCCCCAATGTTTGTTTGATGCTTTGCCTTATTACCAACCGGGGGATGCTTAATTTGGCTGGGGGGGGGAGTGGGTCACAGCTCCCCCCTCAGCACACCGATCCCCCGAGCGATGGCTTTGCAGTTTGTAGCTCGATGCCTGGCTTCAGGAGCCGATGGGCTGAGACCCGGCAAACTCGGCGCACTGCGGCACATTCAAGGTGGGGGGCTGTTTGCCACGGTGCATCAAGGTGGGGAGGGAATGCTGGAAGGAGCCATGGCTACACGGGTGACAGCCAAAAATAGGGGTCCTCCCCTCCATCCCACTCCAGTGGCACCCCTTGGGGGAAGCGGTGCCCCTCCATCGGCATCAGGGGGGGTGCCAGGATGACAGTGTCCCCCCCCGCCACCCCCAGCTCACCCCCAATTTTTGCCTTGCAGCTCCCGGGGTGACCCACGTCATCGTGCGCGAGGATCCCTACCGGGTCTCCGGGGACCAGATGGCCTTGGGGCTGCTGGCGGGGGCTGCCACCGGCGCTGCCCTCGGCTCCTTCATGTGGATGCCATGCTGGTTTTAGCAGCCCCGCACTCTCCTCCCGCAGGATTTGGCCCCCCTCCAGCTGGGCCACAGCCCCCTTTGCCTCCCCAGCCTGGTTTAACTCACCCTTGGCTTGGTACCCGCCGCGAGCCACCCTCGGCCTCCCAAAAACAGCCTGCTCGGCCCCCTGCACCCTGGGGACAGAGATACAGCCCCAAACCCATCCCATATCCTCCTCCCAGCCCTGGCTTTTGCATTAAATAACCCCTACGTGCTTCAGAGACCCCCCAAAAACCTACCCCAAAACCCCACAGCGCCCGATTCCCATCTGCAGAGGGCCTGGGGAGCTGCCAGGGCCATCGGCAGAGGGGAGGGCGCAGCGCCCCAACCCCAAAACCTGGCTCAATTTCCCCCCCCCAAATCTCTGTAGGGAGATGGCTGTAGAAATACCTGGTTTTTGGAGCAAGGGGGATTTATTTGGGGGAAGGTGGCTGAATTTTTTTGCAGCCCTGGCTTGGCGAGGTGAAGCCGACAGCACAGCTGCTTTTTAAGAGCTTTTTTTGGCGGGAGGTTCCAGCACCGGAGTGGGATCAGGTGCTGACACGAGAGGCAACCCCAGGGGTGCTCAAGAGACAGGTTAAAGATTAAGGGGGATGAAAACCTTTGCAGGGTTTCCACCCCATTCCAGCCTCACACCGGTCCCCTGAGCCTGGCCAAGCTGGAGAAATGGTGCAAAACTCCCTGGGATTTGGGGCTAAACCCCTGGGAACTGGGGTTAAATCTCTGGGAATTGGGCTGGGAAGAGCCCTGGGAACATCACAACTTCCCCAGCCAAGCGGCAGTCACTGCGGGAGGGATGCACAATATCGTTGAGTTTCACCCTGATTTTTGGGAGGGGGAGAAATCGCTTGGGGATGAGGGCAGCTCTCCCTGGGGACCAGGGACCCTTTCTGGCAGCCAAGCCAGGATCTTCGAAGCAGCGGTTCGGGATTGAGGCGGGGACATGGTCCCTTTGGGTGGCCCTGAGGCCAGGGGACAAGCGGCACTTCTCATTTTGGCACTGCGTTGGGCAGCACCAGGCAGACGTCGAGGGAAGGGGGAGAGGCGCAGCTGCCACGCATCTCCCTTAGAGGCACGATTTAATCCTGGAGACACCATCAATATTAAAACAAAATCAAGAATTAAAAACAAAAGCCACAGCTAGATAAAAAAAAAAAAGTAACAACCAGCACCCCAGCCCACTCTTGCTGTTAAAGCCCTGGATCAGTTTGTCCCTGCTCCTGACAGGGGATCGGGATATCCCAAAACATTGTCCTCATCCTCCCCCAGCCTCCCTTGCGTTGCTGCTGCTGCAAACCCGCTCCCATTAACTGCATCGATTTTTGGAGAGGAAAAGAAAAAAAAAAAAAAAAAAAACAAAAAACTATCTGCAGTCTAATAAAGGCAGCAAAAACCGAGACCCTGCCTGCTGGTGAGTGAGGATGAGGAGGGGGCTGCTCATCCTCACCGATCTCCAGGGGGTGGGAAGGTTTGGGTCCCCCTTGACAGCTGCGTGTGGATGTCACCAGCTCCTGCATCTCCTCCTGCGCCCCTTTTCCTCCCCCTTTTTCAACTGGGAGCTCCGAGGGGAGGGACGGGCTACTGGAAAGCTCAAAACCATCCTCTGCTCCTTGCAAAAACGGGGTTTGAGCAGACCTCGCAGCACCCACACGGGGTCCCCAGCACCGCAGGCTCTCGGGGTCCCCGCTCGCAGCCTCTGAACGCGGCACGACGACCCCGAAGAGACACAGAAGGGAAAAAGCTGTCCCAGAAATCCCGCTCACCGCGGCTCCATCGCAGTGCTAGAGAACCACGATGATGTGCCGCCACAGCGGCTCCTTCCCTTGCATCTCAAGTTCAGACCCTGCGGGATGAGCCATCTCCATTCGGGAAGGGACGAGTGCAGCAAAGGGCCCTGCCAGCCCCGTTTTAAGCCTCGAGATGGCTCAAAAGCATCCCTGGGTCTATTTAATTTGCAAAGCAGAGAGAAGCTGAGGTTTGCCTGCCCCCTGCTTTTAGAAAAAATTCAGCATTTTCTAAGCCAGGGGTTCAGGCTTTCTTCCACAGCCCCTCCATCGCCGCATTAATCCCAGGACGCAAACCCCAGCTTTCAAGGGGTGGAGAGGAGAAGGATCCAGCCCCATCCACCCCTCTGCGCCCTCATCCCTTCTGCCTTCTATTTCCCAGCCCAGGTCCCCCGTACGGCACACTCACCTCTACACCTCCCCACGGCATCGCGCGTGCTCTCTTCTGCCGCCGATCCCCAGACCCCCGCAGTTATTTCTGCTGCAACCTGCAACGGGAAAGGGGTAGTGGGGACATGACACAGAAATGAAACAACAAACCCACGACTGCTTTTAGGATGCACATCAGATGGGAAACGAGCTGCGTGGAGGCCGAACACTGCTTAGATCTGCTCCCTCCTGAATCCGCACTTGGCCCCGTCTAACAGAGGAGGCTGCTGTCCCGTTTTCCGACCTATTTTCCATCATCACTTCTACCTAAACTTGTCCCTGCAGGACCAGAAGACCCTTTGTAGGGTGACCCCCCCCCACCCTGGTCCCAAAGGCAGGGCTTTGGGAGCCACAGCCCTTTCCTCCGCGTGGCTGGAAACGAGCCAGGGAGCAGGACCCGCTGCAGGGCAGAGGGATGGGGCATCCCCACGGCGAGCGGAGTCCAGCCAGGGAGGGCGTCCATCTCCTGTCCCCACCACCAGGTCCCAAGGTACAGGGGTACAAGGGTCAAGTCTGGTTTGGCTCCGGGGCTGCGCAAAACCCCAGCTGGTGCCGCTGCCAATTAGTGCCGATGGAGACTCCCCGGTGCCGTCCCATCTGCCAGGAAGCAGAGCAGCGCGTCTGGCTGTTAACGAAGCAGCCTGGGATGCGGAGCCCCCCCCCAGGGTTGAGCCCAGCTCCGGTGGGAATAAAGCATCAGCACAACCTGCGGGAGCAAGACCATTTGGGCTAGGCAGGGAAGAGGCAGTTGTAGGGACACACCAAGCAGGGGGATGTCCCCTAAACCCTTTTTTCTCAGGGACTTCAGCAATCCTGGGCGTTGGCAGATCTGGGAAAAGAGGGAGCTTTTCCTGAGCAAGCCCATCTCCAGCGCCAGGCCAGGAGCGGCTAGCAGGCAGTTACCGCACAAGGTGCTTAACCCAAGGGTGAGACATGCCTGGAGATGGAAACATCTGGAAACGCTTCGCCGAGAGCAGCACGACCTGGAAATCAGCACTCCTTTCCACGCCACGTCCAGCTGCTGACCTGCAAAAGCTCCTTTTCCCCAGCTCAGACAGACCCCCAAGCTCCCCATCCCTGTGGTACCTGAACATCCCAGGGATGATCCCGCTTCTCTCCTACCGTATGGGGCTGTGCCCATCTCCTGAAGACCCACAGACACCAAGTGATCCAGGCAAGGCCACCGGGAAGGGCAGCAATGGACCAGCACGTGCCTCCAGCAGCGATTCCTGGGGTCTTCGCGCTGTCGGTGGGAGCAGCTGATGGCAGCCAGACCCCTCGCTAGGAAGCTAAATGAGGGAGCAATTAAATAGGTTATAAAGAAATTTGGAAGCATAAACAATAGAAGCCATCATCCACAAACCACCTGGCTTGGTTTCCGCTCCGCTCAGGTGTTGGCCCACAGGAGAGGGGCTTCCTGGGGGCCTTCGGTGCCAACTAGGACTGACGCCGCACAGGACCAGCGGGACAAGAAGTGCCGAAAACCAGAAATTAGGGTTGACCCACTCCATTCGCACTCAAATACAGACTCATCTGACCCCTCTCTCCCAGCAGTAAGGGCTGCCGAAGCCCCAAACGCCGGCGAAAGCCCAGAACAACTCAAAAAACCCTCCGAAATGAGGATTAACGCGGTGGGACCAGGCTCAAGATGTTAACATCCAAGTATGCCCACAAACTGCCTTATAGATTCGTCCCTGAGTGTCACAACAAAGGAATCAGCTGGAAGCTGCTTGACCCTCGCTGCGATCAAAAACCACTTATCTGGAAATAAAGCAGCTGCATTGCAGGCCACTACGCCTCAGCAAATGTCAGGATCAAGCCTCAAATTTCCACCCTCTTCCCCAGCTTGGATAAAAGCGGGAAAGGTCAGTGCCAACTCCACCACCAGCCCTGCAAGCATCGATAAACCCCATTTTCTCCCTCAAACACCCCGTATCCGAGGTCACGCAGCACCGCGGATGGACCCATTGGCTGCGCAGGGGGGATACAGAGTGATTTCAGTGCTTTCATTAGCGGCAACTTTAATCAAGGCTTTTAACACAACCCTCGTTCCACACGCGCTCTCTGGGTGGCCGACAGCAAGCACTCAAAATGGCTTTAATTTATACCCAAAACCTCAGAAACAGGTGGCAAGCCTGGAAGATTCGATTCGGAAACAGCGCTTGTGGAGAGCCTCCTCCCTCCGAACCCAGCAGGGCAGAACCGCGGGGCAGCAGGAGCATCACCTGGCTGCCTCCACCCCGAGCTGCCTTCAGCCCTGCCCTACTCCTCATCCTCCAGGGAACGGCAGAGCTGCTCATGTCATTGCAATTCAGCTGGCGTTTAACTGCCGGCACGCCTCAGCCAGGCGTTTACGGCATCCGTCTGGGCAGTCGGTTACGTTCAGGCGCTACAAGAGGATCCCAAATACCTTTTAAAAAGCCATGTTCGACTTTGGCACGCGGTCCGACCAGGTGGAGAAGGAAAGGTTGTTAAAGACAGGGTTAAAATAAAAAAAAAAGAAAAAAAAAAGAAAAAAAGGTCCTTTCGCAAATCGATGAAAAACCAAGCCCAGCAAGTCTGGAAACCCCAGCTCAGGCAATGACAGAGCAGCAGAGGAGGAGGCTGAGCACCGAGCGCTATGGCAGTGCAGACGGGAGAGGCTGTTTTGAGGTCCGGGTGTTTGCAGCTGCTCTCCTGACTGCGGGAGCATTGGCGGCCTCTGCCGCAGCCACGTCGCAGGTAAAGAAGCAGCCTGCCCACCCTCCATTTATCTTCCTTTCGGAGCTGGTACATGCCCAGCATGGAAAAAGGTGCTGCTGCATCAGGTAGAGCCCTCTCACTGTCTAGTTTGCTGAGGATTTGGGCGCTGGAAGCAAACCCGACACTGTGTGGCGAGGGGATGGCGTCGGCTGCTGCGGCAGCTCTGCAGATGCTGCTAGGAGAATGCCGCGGCTCTTCCAGCTTGGCAAAATCAGCGCTGACCCTTCCAGCGGAGCAGACAAAGAAGCCATCAGCAAACGCCAGCATGAGGCACTCTCTAATCCGAGCCAGACACTCCCTACCTGACTTCATAGCCAATAAAAACCAACAAGGTTGGAAGCAGAGAGCTTGACCTGCTGCAGCCGCGAGCTAACGGCCAGGACCAGCATCCTGCGCCCTAGCTGATGTGTGCCCCCGGACCATGCCTTGCTCAGAGACAGCCCCTTCTCTGTAGTTTAATCCAGCTCCCTTTTATAGATGGGAAATTGAGGTACTGGTATTTGAGGTGACAGCCCCAAGGCTACATACAGCAGCAGCATGAAGGTAATTCAGCAGAAACGGGGAGCAGTGAGGGATTGAGACCATCACGCTTCAGTGCTACCCGGGAGACAACACCCACTGAAGTTCAACTCCTTCCAAACCCACTGTTGAGAGGTGAACGTGGTGTTTTCAGCTGCTCCCACCCAGGGCAGAACCTGGGTGCCAGGTACAAGGAACAGAAGCTCCCCGCAGTGACAAAATCCTTTTCCAGTGACCTGTCCCCATACAGCCTCACCATACGGCTGTTCCCATATCACTAATTCCAGCACATCTCCACAGCTACAAGACTATGTTCAAGTTTCTTGCTTGCCAAATTTCACGACCAATTTACTGACAGTCCTTTTAATATAGGAGAGCTTGAACAAGTGACAGAGGTTAGGCTGCTGGTGTTACCAGACCAAAAAAAACCCCAGTTAATTTCCCTAGCATACTAGACACGGATAACTCTGTCAAAGAGCATCTATTACTGGTACTCACCTACCCGTCCCCGCAGCCCTCGTCTGCAATCTCCAGCAAGATGGAGGCTTAAGGAGGATCCTCCTCAAGGTGGGGTTGGTCCACCCGCGCTCACCGGCTATCGCAGAGCAGGCACCCAGGGAAGCCGAAGCAGGCAGCAGTGCAGCCGCACAACGCGCCCG